CAAGATAACCTAAAAGCCGAAGTGTGACAGCCAGTTGGTTCCCCAGATAACAGCGAATCCTCAAACACTTCCAATAAAATCTCAGGCAGTTTCTAAACCCGGCACACCTGTCTCATGCTTCAAAAACCATTCGACGTTTCCAGGCACACCTATTTTTATTTACAGCCTTTTATGAACGAGATAAAGAGGTATCATCAGAACACTCTTTTATTTACAATTTCTCCACAAACCGGGCTTGTCATCAGCGTCCCTTTGGTAGCGCAGGGGCCTAATTTATCGGCAATTGACTACGAGAATCATAAACCCATGATTGAAGCCTAATTTAGGCGTTTAAGTAGTCTAGATGTCGTTAGCAATTTTTTGCCGGCTGACACTGAATATTAGTCGCCAGTTCCCAGTTCTCAGGGTCGGAATGACCAAGTTGAAGGAGGTCATCAAGCCACGCCTCGGGTTACAAATAACTTGGCTGCAAAAACGCTATAGGTTGAAGATGTAAGTTATAAGGACACTTGATGCTTGGACAATCATCGGTTGTTTTTTGATGAGCAGACTTAGAAATTCCTCCTAGTTGATGATGCTGGTGTTGTTCTTTTGTGAAAAAATCCAGGTGGTTTAATGACACACATACTCTGAAGAAAATACGCGGGTAATCGAGCCAATTAACGTGAGCTCTCTGCAATCCCAGACAGTTAACCGTGTGATTTTATTCCCTCTAAAACTGGAATCCGACGGAATCAAATTATTGCGAGACATTTATGATTGTCATCTCCGGGTGCTTTTTGTCAGCTGTAGAGAACTTGGTACTTAGTTCGGGTAATTGATAAATTAGCATCTATTAGTCCTCTTTTACGGTTATGGCCTACTAATTTATTGGCAATTGATTTGATACAGATTGTTGGGAGACAGAATCCAGATCATTTACAAGAGAGTAACTAATTGGTAAATTGCTGGATTAAATTGATTGGTTGTCATTATCCGTTGAAGAATTTTAGTTGTAAAAATTTACTTTAATAGCGGTCCGAATTTTTTTGAATATTTAATATTACAATAAAATGTGTCTGAGTAAAAGTAGTCTAAAATTTAAAGAAGTTTTTGGTTAATATTGAATGAAAATTTATTAAACATTTAATGTTGAAATATATAAGCCCTAAAAATTGATAATAATATGTCTGTTAATAAGAATATGTCCGATGAAAATTATATTGTGTGCAGTAAGATGAATTAAAATATTTATTTAACGGACTAGTCCCTAAATTCAACTACAACACTTTAAGAAATATTGCGGTTATTAATTGTTAATTATTTTTAAGGAGTTAAATATTTTAAATTACAGTAAAATAAAATGTGTCTAAGAGAAAGTAGTCCAAAATTTAAGGGAGTTTTTAGTAATAATTAAATAAAAATTAATTTATTTAATGTTATTAAACTAAAATCCAGTTTCATACAAAATATGAAACCTGAAAATTAATAATAATATGTCAATTGATAACAATATGTTCGATAATAATTATATTGTGTGCAGTAAGATGAATAAAAATTTTTATTTTACGGACAAGTCCGTAAATTCAATTAAAAATATTTATAAATATTGCTGTTATTAATTGTTAATTATAAGACCAGTAATTGTTAACAATTTTAGAGAGAGTTTTTTATTTTTAAGAACTTTTTTTTTTTCCTTATTTTGTTTAAAGTCGCATAAACTACTAAGGTCATAAGCGACTACGGTAGGGGGTAAACTTTTGAGATTGGAACTCGTTTTATTTCTTGGGCTGAGCAGAATAATACACTAAAATATTGAAAATTAAATATTGAAAATATTCATTGGTGTACGCCGGACTCGAACCCGGTCCAATGCTTTGGTAAGCAAGGGCCGGATCCGATAGGCTACTGCGCGCCCTTTTTAAGAACTTAAATATTTAAAATTACAAGAAAATAATATTTGGCTCAGTGAAAGTGGTCCAAAATTCGAAGGAGATTTTGGTTAATATTAAAGAAAAATTTAATGTTAATAAACTAAAATCTAGTTTTTTTCAAATTTAAACCCTGAAAATTGATAATATTATGTCCGATAATAAATATATTGTTGCAGTAAGCTGCATTAAAATTTTCCAATTTAAGGACTAGTCCGTAAACTGACAAAAAGTATCGCTGTTATAGATTTTTAATTACAATATTAGTAATATTCCTCATAAATTCACCAATTCACATTAAAATCCGCAGTAGCAAGCCTAATCCCTCTCAGGTTGATGAAGGTGGTCGATTAGCCTGCGGCGCTTGCTGATCTAACCCGGCTGTGCGACTTTCGTTCCAAGTTCCAAGTGTGGGAACCTTCTGGCCCCTGCCTCCGACTGATCGAGTTCCACCACGCGTGTGTACGTCTATTTATACTTCAATAATAATAATAACTAGACACATTATGAAAATGCGATCGGAAAAATCCTCATGAGAGTTTCCTCTGGATTTACAGCAGATCAATCGTGACCCTCATGGCTTATGCCGCGAAGCGGCATAAGCCATGATGTGAGAGAAGGGGCAAGAAGATGGAGATCAAAGGCTAAGGTGAGCTTGAAACATCTCGTATACTTAACGAAGCATCGACATGGACGTTTTAACTCAAGATCACCCATCACCCACCGTTTTTTGCCTCCACTCGGTTATTATCCGGGGTTCAAGGCAGCTCCCATTCCAGGTGAGTTGCGTGTCAAGTATCAGCCACTCTGCACCCGGATGATCCAGCCGAAGAGCACTGCAGCTCTTTGTATGCTCAAGAGGAAGCTTAAGCTAAAGCTGACTAAGACGCTGACTAAGATGGAGCCTAGCATCTAGGACTCTAAGATCTAATCTAACTTGGTCAAGTTGGCAATCGGTCATCATATCATTATCAGTCATCATCATTAAGGTGAAAGTCCGCAGCGATATTTTACCATAAATATTCCTTTTGGGCTGCAGTCACGAAAACCAAGGAGCGTGAGATGACCATGTATGGCCATCGGGTTCTCCGAATCTTGGCTCGTGACCTCCGGATGCTGATGTATATTCACCGAGCTCACCACTTACTGGTGACTGCTTTTACCATTATAATCCTGGTTCCTTGGGCGTCAGTAAGCTGTATATACTTGGCTGGCTTATCGCTGATCCGAACACTGCAAACTGATCCGGTTTCCTCCGGCCAGACCGAGGAATCATTATCATATCCAGCTGATCATATCCAGTTGATAGTCTGGGATTCGTTCCGATGACTTCGAGGATCGGAACTTCAAAAATCTCGTCATTTCAAGGTTTGTTATTGGAGAGTATGAAGTTTTATGGCTTTTAGATTGCCTCCAGAAAATTCTTGAGTCAAGTGGTACTTTTTTAAAGTAAGATTTATTAAATTATCATTGATATTAATCATAAATTTTGTTATAAATAAATCAGCTGCCCAGAAATATCAATTTAAATTTTTTCCAATTGTGTTTAATATCTTTCTATATAAAAAAATAAGGTTCCTTGGCTAAAGTTGACGTCAAAACTACTGAAGCTATCGGAATAGTACTGCTACCATTCGGGGCAAAATTTTTCGTAGATGGTTATAGGCTACTTATTTTTTGGATTTTATCAACCCTTCCCCATTATATTTTATTAAATATGAAAAAAATATATCATCTATATCATTTATAGTCATTCAAAAGATTTAATTTAAGAATTTTACAAATTTTTAGCTGGTACAATAATTGGGACATCCTTGACAGGAATTGGGACATGTGTTTAAAAATGACTATTTTCAGTTGGAATTAATTTTGTAACAAGTTATCATATATATGTAAGCAAAATAAGGTTCCTTTGACTAAAGTTGACATAAAAACTGAAGTTATCGAGTCGGGACTGCTACCCTTCAACGCAGAATTTTTCGTAGATGGTTATAGGCTACTTATTTTTTGGATTTTATCAACCCTTTCTAATTTTTTTACGATTTACTTTTATATACATTTTTTCCCGCTAATAAAAACAAAAGACTCTCATTTTTCATTCATTTGTTTTTAATACGATTTTCTTTTGTTTTTATTACATAACCTTGATATTTGATTGATTTAACGTCATTTAAAAAAAGTTTAAGAAAGAAGCTAATTATGTCTGGTGAACTAAGTGTTGAAAATTTATATTTATATGCTGATCGTGTGTTTGGTTATGATAATTGGTTCCATGAAATAAAATAGTTAGATTTCTATGAAATCTACTAAAAATGTTGTTTATAAACTAGGAATTTTTGAAACATGAAATTTAGGTCATGTCTATTGAGTTTCAATAACATTTACTAAAAATTTCCTTACAACAAACGTCTCTTTAGCAGCGGGAAAAAAGTCATTGTAAGGTTTCCAAAAATTAACATTACACGTAGTAATTCAGTCAACGGACTAACAATTTTACATACATGTTATTTTTGCTGATTACATAACTTATAAATTGTTGTTATTGCGGGATCACGGGAATGTAACAGATTAAAATGAATGGATTTTCCAAACACAAGAAGTGTGAAAAATAAATTTGGCTTCTTATATAAATAGAATTCGTAAAAAACATGTTAAATTTATTTTCTATAAAAAATTGATGTCTGAGAAAATTTTAAATAACAGAAAAATTGTTCGCACTTGTAGACAGATTTAAACTTGACTTATGAGACTTGCAATGACTTTAACTAAAACTTTCAATGGTCATTTGGAATCTGGGCAAATCAAAACAACACTCCAATTAAATTTTAAGTCTAGATCTAAAAATACAATTATAAATTATAAATTTAATTTTTATTTTTTACATATTTTACTGTAATAATATTAAGCAAGAACATGCAAATATTTAATTATGTTAACCTTGTGATAATACTAGTAACAAGCCTCGATAACGAGGTTTATCTAGAGACAATTATTTAACTACATACCTACCAAGTTCGCTCGCAGTATTTGTTCACTAAACATTGTCACAATTTTTTTTTACGACGAAAATAAATAAAATAAACTTAAACAATGTTTCAGTATTTTATTTTAATATTCAATATTTTGGGCGTAATTTTGTCAGAAGAAGTATGTATATTACTTTTAGACTTCTTAAACTCTCAATTGAGAGGTTCAGGGTTCGATTCCCGGCGGGGGTCAAGCAAAAAGAAATAAGTAATATTATTTTATTTTTCAATTTTTTTTTTCAGGATCAAGTTTATAAAAGTCATCTGAAAGTTTCAACGCGGCTAGACTTGTCGGGATCATTGAAGCATCTTTGTGCTGGAGATGATCAAAATGATGACGATCAAGTGGTCTCCTGTGCTTGTCTCAGTAAATTGTCAGTTGTATCGACCGTCCAAGTGGGAAAGTACCAAAATGTCTACCATCACAACGAGAGCAATCAAAATGGCGTAAACGCTTACGCGTCGCTTTACCAAACTGAAGAAAATTTGAAAGTTTTAGGCTTCGGACGCTTCAATGTATTTTTTTTTCTTACTTTTAGAAGTTTTTGGAGGAAAAATTAATGTAATTTTTTTTTGCAGTTACATAATGTTAAATGCGTAGAAAATAATGAGGTTAAAGATGTTGAGAGTCGGTACACTCATTGGTTCCACGTTTATTCTACTTGGTCAAGTTTACCTCCATATAATAAATTTTTTGATTACGAGGACTATGCGGCCGATGTTCTATTGCCAATAACGATTGTGGATATTACTCTTGATAATGCACCTAAATTTGTAAGTATTGTTATTATTTAATAATAATAAAAATAATTAATCGGAATTATGGTATTTTACGGTGAGAAAAAATTTATTTCTTCATTAATTTTAGAAAAATTAATTTTTTATTAAAATATTGTTCATTTTTTTTTAATAGAAAATTTTTTCTCAGTGTTTAGATCATGAAATTCATTTCAAAATGAGACTTTCATTTAAAAATACCCATGAATTAAGAAAGAAAATTATTTTCTTTTTAATTTCAAAAATTTTGTTATTTATATTATTAATCACAAGTAATTTTTCATTAATATAATAATAACTAGCAACCTGGCAGTCACTACGTGACTGCGATGACTTGTGAACTATAAATAAATAAAATTTTGCTTTATTAAATAATGACTTTTGTTAAATTGCACTGTACTTTCTTAAATATTGACGTTTTTAAAGATATAAGC